TTCCCCCCACCCCACCCCCTCCCTTTCGTCGCCGCTTAAAACCACTCACGCTGCTTGGCCCGCCGGTTATGATATGACCACACGAGACGACTTCTTCTGCTGTCGACTCTTCCTGTAATAATTTTGCTTCCCGGCCGTCTTTTATTTATTTTTTTTGTTTGCTCTTTCATCGCTGCTATTATCGCCCTCGTCTCTATCACTGAGATCTCATTCAATGATTGCTTCATTCCCGAGCGCGCTCGGGAAAAGAAATGCTTGGAAGTGGTGCGAGGTGATCGAAAAAGAGTATTGATTTCCTTTAAGGAATCAATTTGTCAAATGCAAATGTTTTCGAAAAGTGATTGTTTATCGATATTAAACTCTTTATTTTATTTAGTTAATATATGTTGATTTAAAACATTCTACAGATTTTTGATTAAAAAGATTTTCAGAACGCAAAGATTTTCCGAAGAATCTTCTCTGCCAAACATTGTACAAAACTATTCTGTTTTCGGATCATTGGCGATACGTTTTTTTTTTCGAAGACGTGATTTCCGCTATTGAACGAACTAGCTCACAGTTTCTTTTCTTGACTATTATTCCGGGAAATAACGGAGAATGGTCGTGACATTAAAAGAGCTATTGCTCACAAGTTCAGTCAACGAAGCAGTTGACCTGCGGCACGGCGGTCGATTTAGTAATTAGGTCAATTGTTCCGATGTTCGGTGCTACAATCTAATGGATTAGGATCAGATAGCGATAGTTGATTAATTGCATACACCGCTATATTGTATATAATTTTTTAATTTTATTAGACGTATTTTATTCGACGTAGATTGCTTACACGATTTGATTATGAAATCAATCGGCGAGATTTAAATCATCGCATTTTCCGTCGATTTGACTTATTAGCTGGATTTGATTATTTTATTATTGGAATGCAAAGTTAAATGCATGAATCGTAAAATATCGTCATGCACGGTAGTAAACATACTCTTGAAGGCTATAATTATCCATTCCGCGTAATGACGGTCGTTAAAGGGCTGAATTTCGCTACCGAAGTACATAAAACGTTGTTAAGGGTTAGAAGACTACGCCTATTACTAGACTTTATTTGCAATGCGGTGGAATTCGGAACATCGATACTCCGCAAAGTGCCCGGGCACCGGTAAAAGCTGCGGCCGCGAAGCGCTCGCGGCTTTGTCGTGGCGGCGGAGATGAAAAGGATGTAGCGAGCCACACGCCGACAGCTTAAGCCCTCAATAGCCCTCGACGATGGTGCCCGTAGCGTGTACCGAAGCCATGATACGGCGGGAAGGGGTGAGGTGGAAGGAGCAGGTCGCCGGTCGAAAGGAGGAAGAGAAAGAAGCGCGGGGGAGAGGCGCGAAGGGGGGGACCTCGCCGCGGCGAGGTGGCGGGTCGAAGAGGGACGGGGCATGAGACGGCTACCGAGCGCAGAGAGCTCGCCTTCACAAAGCATCAGAATGGGACTTACCGGGGCCCCGTTATTAGTCCTTACTCACTTCGTACTTGGTAGGGCCACGAGAGAGATCAGATCTCTCTCGCGTCGAGCCGCACGCACACAGGCACGCACACGCATACGAGCCGCCGTTCCCCATGCCGTCTGGTGATGAAGGCGGACGACGGCGTGGAAAATGTCAGTGTCATCGATACCTGCTTTCCTCGTGGCGCTTCACGACCTGAAAACTCATCATCCGGCAAAAGAGTTCTTTTTGTCGCGCGAAGGGCGATGGGAACGGGCGACGAGAGCGACGGCGTCGGGCGAGATTCACTTGACAGGTCGCACCGAACTCCTTATTACGAGAACGAGAGGGTAGGAAAGTGGTAGAGGGATAAGAGGTACATTCAAGCGTCGACTCGATACCCGGATAATCTTTTCTTTTTGAAACGGCAAATTAGGAGTAGGTTTTTTTTATTTCCCGATTGAAATTTCGTTGTATCATGTTATCGCGCTAAATGAGTGCGTTTAATTGTCCTCATAAATGTGTTGAAAAAATCCGGTATCTTCTTATCATATCTTATAAATTTGTGTGATTCGTATTTCTTTTATTTAGAAAATGGAATAAATTTAAGTTATAATTTTATTGCAAAGTGTTGCATTAGGTTTATGAAATAATAGTCAGGTGAGATATTTTAATATGTTTCAATACATGGCTTTGTGGTATCAAATATCTTGTGCTTATCTTTATAGAGCGCTTTTAAAAATTTCAATTACGGTATTTGACATATTTGATAGTACGAAAAAATTTGTTACGAGTGTAACGCACACTGAATCGTATTTTCTAATGTCTTAGCAAAACTGTGATCTCATTGTGATCTGTTAACGATTTATGACAGTCTATTATTCGTCGTCCAGCCTGGCGTCGATCACCTTGACATCGCGCGTTCGAACCCGAAAGATCGAGACACGATCGCGCCTCCCTCCGTGGGATCCTAGGCGCGGTGCGAGCAGAGAGGAGCCGACGAGCGGTTCCTCGTGCCAACGGGTTCCGTAGGCGAGTTAAAAGAGGAAAAGAGGGGCTCGGTTGCGTCTCGTTGCCGCCGAGCGGCGCTCACCTGCCTAAGTCCGCAACAGTCTCGTACGGTTCGCTCGGGCCAGGAGCTTCGCCGACGACCGCAGACGGCCGAAACCTCTCTGTCTCCCCTACCATTTGAAAGTTTTCCACCTCCGCAGGCTCTCTCGTCGGTTTTCCACCCTCCTTTCCCCGCCTACTCGTCATTTCCGCCTTTCCGTTGGTTCTCTCGCTTGTCGCACCTGCAATTTCGTAGAAATTTACGAGACCGTTTTCCGATCGATCCGTCGATCCCGCTTGAGCGGGGAATTGAGAAATCTTCAGCGTTTTCAGGGAGGGATGGTCTCCTCCCCGAAGATCGTGTCTCTCGCGACGGTGAAGTCGAGGATGCACCCGTCGCCGGCGTCGGTGGCGGTGGTCTCGCGGCGGCGGCGGTGGTGGTGGTGACGGTTGTGTGGTGGTGGTGGTGCTGGTGCCGGTGAAGAAGAGGAAGAAGAAGAGGAAGAAGAAAACGGCGTACATTGGTGGGGGCTCTTCTCTACTCCCCAGAACTCCGGCTGGTGGGGGTAAGGCAACACTCAAAGATCGTGGTGACGTAGTTCTGGCAGGAACGCGACGCGTTTTTGTCCACGTAGCGAGAAAAGAGAACTTTTCTACGTCTCGTTTGCGCCACACATAGTTGATACTTTTGGGAGAGAAAAAGAGCAACGGCAACAAGGAGTAGGAGAAAGAGAGAGAAAGCGAGAGAGAGAGAGAAGAGAAGAGAAAGGGACGAAGACGTCGGACAGTTCGACAGGTGGAAAGAGAGAGAAAGAGAGAGGGTGACTAGGGAGGGGGGAGAGAAGAAGGGGAGCGAATAATCCAAAGGACCGGAAGTCAGTGCTCCTTTTTCCGGATCTTCCGCGAATCGCGAGCTCCTTTTTCGCAATCTCCGTGTCTCTTTCAACGAAGGGCATTCTTCAATCACCCTCAAAGCACCCTCAGCGCGATACGCGATCATGAAGATCACGCGTGCACCGCGAACGTCGTGGCTGCGTAATCCCGAGGAGATACCTTCGCTTCGCAAGACGCGTCGTGAAACGCAACGCCAAGAATAGTTCTTCGGACGGACGCAACGGTCAAGAAGGACGAGGAACCTTGCGCACGCGGCGAGTAGATGGTCGCAACCGACCGCGATCGTTCGTCAACGTCTTGGTAACAACGTGAGCAAAATCTAGTCTATCGCGAAACTGCGAACACAATCGTCCTCGATCGGCGAGAAGAGTCTCAAGTGGATCCGCGGCGTTCTACGCGTGACGATCTACGTCGCGCGATGTCGGGCTTCACCGCACGGGCCGATAAGGGAGTCGCGCGGTAGAGGGGAAACAGTTTGCGTGCTAATATTCGATCACGAGGTGCATACGAATACCGGGGGACGCGTACTCGGTGTACTCGCACTTTCTTCGTCGACTCGACTTCGCAGCCGGCGATCTCCCGAGCGCATCGCTGTCGCGATTTCGCATTTCCCGTCAGTGCGCAGAGTCGGGACAAAGGAAACGCAATCGGTGATCTTCGAGTGTGCTACCAGGTGCGGAGGGGATGGAGATGCGCACCGTTCTCGTGGCGATCTGCCTCCTTCTCGTCACCCCCATCACCGGCTCTTTCTGGTGAGTGACACACCTCGTCCTGTAATATATTCTTCCACGCTCCGATTCTGTATGCGCTATTACACTTTCGCAAGGTTATTACATCCTTACAAGATGTTACGTCGAACTTTTTGTTAACTTTTCAAAATTAATATACGCAGAATAGTAAGTCAATCGACGCAGGTAAAAAATTCCTTCTCTATTTTTTTTTTTGGCAGAAAAGAATCAGAGAATTTACCGATCGGTTATAGCGCGTTATTTCGCGCATTCGCGGCTTAAATATAACCAGGTGAATTTTGCTTATCTAACTAAAGATTGCAATCAGTGTCACGTTCTACCGTAATGTGAGAAGTCTCATTCACGGTGCGAGCCTTTGCGTAAGACGAGTACTTGCTTCGAGCATTTCACGAACTTTTGCGGGGTCCTTTCGAATTTATGCGTCTGACACGTGATAAATGAAAACGTTTCTCGTCCTACTATTTTCAAACGCGATTATCTTAACGCGCGGTCACGACGGTTGTGCCTCCACGATAGGAATAACAACGTGTTCTCGCGTCCCTCGTCGAAGTCTCTGAAAAGTGAGATAAAGAGTGACACGTAACAGCTCGGTTTTACGTCCTTAGCGTCGTAACACGTGACGACCATAAAAACGAGGGTTAAAACAAACTTGAGTAATAGGTACGGTATCTGGTAGCCCATCCTGCTTGCGCGGTTAGGATAGGTAAAAAAAGAAGAAATAAAAGTAGAAGAAAAATCTTTTGCGTGACTCGTGTATTTACTCATTTCAATTTATCACTCATACGTGATAGATTTCGGCGCGATTTCGTTGACATTACAATTTTACTCGCCACGGTATTTTCTTTATTCCAAATTAAATGCTCGCTTATTAGATTAGAATATTCGGCTTGGCTATCGCAATGGCTCCGTTACGCGCTACAAATTCTCGCATTATTGTTTGACGTATCAACTGTTACATTTTTGCTGGAATGCTTGTCGTTTAAATCGCGCACAGCGCTGCGACAGATTACATACGTGATTGTCTCCTTGCATTAACGCGCTAATACTCTGTGAACGCGAAGAACTAACGAGTGCTCCAGTTTCGAGACGCGTCATCTGGGTTATCAATTACGTCGCGCGTTACGCGCACGTAAGATGAGTAATGACGCCATAAATCCTCCTTTGGTAGTTATCCATGCTTTTATAAGCAGACTCGACTGTCTCGAGATTTATGGCTTTATTTTGCGCTACGCAAATCGCTTATTATTGACGACGCAAAACGCTCCTTGAAATATGTATCTTTATTTCTGAATACTGATCCAAGCAAACTCACTTTCGCCTATTCGTTAAATTACTCTACTGGTTCCTAAATTATCACGATTGCGACGGCTGACGAACGAGACTTCTAGAATGCCAAACGTAACAATTGCCGAAGCGCGAAATCACGTGGCACTTACAGTAGCTATGTCTGAAATCCAATTATCTCGGCGAGTAATAATAAATTACTCGGTAGCGCGACATTGCTGTGTACTCCACTTTGTTATGCAAATGTTTACACGATGATAGAACGTTATCGTGCCCATGCCACTAGGAATTACAGCACTCGGAGACAGATCATTTCGTATCTATCTGGTGAGCGTAGCGTGAACTTTGAGTGCATCAACAAGGTGCTTTATTATACGTTAATATGCGAAGGTGTCAGTTTTTAATAAATGTTTATTATTTCGAAGGAGGTGGAGTGTTACGAATACATTATGTGAATAGATTATAATTACGTTAGGTAAAGAGATATTAATTATTTAATTATTATTATCCGGAAATATCGAAAAGTTAATTACGATTGATAGCGATTAATAAATTAGCATTGTTAAATTAATTTTAAGGATTATTCAAATCGTAGATTTCCTTTTGTTTTATACGAGTGAAATGTTTTCTTGCACTGGGCGATTTTGGCAGCGTCAAGGAGGGTTGCTCGCAGAAGTGAAGAAGGAGACCCTCTCGAGTTTGGTTAAATATTTGTTTCCGATTTAAAGCGGATTTCTGCGTCCTGACGATGCTGTGAGTCCGCACCTTATTGCTTTCTTAGGCTGTCGCAGCCGTCGTTCACGGCGTGTTTGATAAATATATTAGGAAGATGACGGTTTGTTTCGATAACAGGTATTTAACGGTCTGACTGGAAACTCTCCGCTCTTTCTTTCTGCGTGCTTCGTTCATCATCTGCCACGAGTTAATCTGCAGCTACTACAGTGCACGAGGGCACGTGTCGCATCGTGTTATTCGCTTCGGTAGTTACTGCGACGCGTAGCATACCATAGGCAGAAAAAAAAAATTCAATCTACAAATTTAATTAATTAGAATTATTATTTATCTATGCAGGTATTGGATTTTGCAATTGCAAAATTATCTGGAAATTGAGAGCAAGTTTGGAGGAAATTTAATTCTCTGTCGTATCTTGACATTACTAAAAATAGCAAACCTGTTGTTTATGTGTGTATTGCGACGGTGCCGCATAGAATAGTAAATAGAATTAATAAATTAACATTAATGTAGCATATCAATTCCTTATCACATCACATGAAAATGATTGCATAAGTAATTACGTAGAACTGATTTATCACATTGTTTCGATATGGATTTATTGAGATTCTACCAACTCGTTAAAATTCTATTATATATATATATAATACAAATTAGAATAAATATATATCTTCAAAGATTGCGAATTACGTAGGATAAAAAATCTGAAAGTCAGATAACTGAAATCCACGAATGTGTTTTCACCGAGTCGGCGGGACGTCATTTCTGCGATTCTCATTCCTGCGGAAAAAATGCCGTCCCTGCTCCGAAAATACCACGGTGTCCATAAATCAGTCTCTCGTACGGTCGTTCGTCATCGAGTCGCGCATTACGTCCTTCTCGCGAGTCCTCCTAGGGCCCGCAAGGACCCCGGGCTCCGATTATCCGATTGGAACCGGATTCCCTTTCGTCGATCGGCATTCCTCGGTTTTTTCGCGACGAATACTGCTCTATCTCCCTCTCGTTCCCTTCTGCTCGCGCGCCGCCGCGTCCTTCTGTCCTTCTCGCGCGGTCCTCTGGGAACGAAGGGACTCGCGGAGGAACCGGAGGGGGATGGGCGATTCACGTGGGGACAAAGACGACCAAGTGGAGGAGTAAAGAGGTAAAGAAGTGAGCGAGGATGGACAATGGTCTCGCTCAAAGCGTCACCCGTAAATCTCGTTGAGCGCGTATAATTTGTAAGTCGGCAGGAACCCCCTGTTTCCCCCTACGTCCTCTCTCGCCCTCTTCGTCCTCCGGCAGCCATCGCCTGCGTTTCTTTCCCTCTCTCGCGCCGCGATCCGGAGAGCCTTAGCCGGGAGGACCGGAGATACACGGAGTCCGTTCCACGTTCCTACGCAGCTTTCGTTCCAATCGCATGTCCCTCGGCGACTCATGCATTTCTTCGGAGTGCTACATGTCGAACGCGATATACTATCGGTTTTTGTATCGATACAACGTAGAAGAACCGTACGCTTGCTCACGAAACTGTCAGACGATCTTGCTTTTCATTTTTTTGCAGTCTCACACAATAGCGTAAAATGTAGCCTTGAAATGAAATGTAAGCAATCCTAACTAGATCACGCTAATGTTCCGAGGCTAAGAATAAATATTAAAATGTCCGATTAATTTTGATAAAACATAATTAAATACATATTTCTTTGCTGCGTAACCAACGATCAAACGTACACATGTCGTGTTTTGCTCCGAAAAGTGTCCGCCCCTTTTTGCTAGCGTATAATAGATTCCAGAAATGTCAGAATTGTGTGAACGAGAGAGTCGACAGATAGTTTCCGGCTGTTACGGGGACAACATATGTTAGTCGATCGATCATTCGCAGTTGCACGCGGTTGGGGAGTTACACGAATGTCCGACATAATCTACGAGCTGTAAATAGTAAACAGCATGGTATAATAGCGTTATGAAATAGTTTGTCACGCAAATAGAAATAACTAGGGATAACATTTTAATTCAGTATCGAAACAATTTTTCGTGAAAAATTCCTGCGCTTATGGTCACTTTTTAACTCTGTTATTTCCAGATATCGCTTTTATTTAACGATTACGCAAGTGAGCGTATATAATTTTATGCAGATTTTTCCTCGCTGCTGATCTACGATCTGCACGATCTACGATCTGTTCCGTCGAATTTTTACGGACTTTCCATGAAATTACCGTGGCGAATTACTCCACCGTGATTACCAATTACGCTACGGAACGTTCCGATTTTCATATGAGGTGAACGTCGCTCGTTTCGCGTTAATAAGCACCCCCTAGCGCGTGCGCACGCGCTTTCACGCTCTTCTCCGCGAGCGGCGCGATCGAACGACGGATACCTAGTCGCGCGCGATTGATCTGCAGGTGCGTGGCACGCAGGTAGGTTCGATCGGCCGGCCGCCGATGTATCGTAACGGCGAGCTCCAGCGATAATACGATAGCGGGCTCGCGAACCCGGCCAATAGGCCGTGGTGGGCAGTCCGCGGCTACCATCCCGCTGGTTGGACAACTCGATCCGCTCCCCACCGTCTCACCTGGGCCATTCTCTCGTTCTCTCACCTGCTGTATATTCATAATCATAAGACGGCGCTCACCGTGAGGCCGTGTAGGCCGCGTACACACCGGCAAGCAGTGAGGTGTGTAAAGCGCGATGCGAGGATTTATCTATTAAAATAATTCAAACAGATTTAATTGAATGAGGCTGCGTATATTGATAATGAGAAAGACGATACGCGACATCTACTGTTACTTTTTATTAATTTTTTTATATAGCTGAACTCAGAAGCGTCGATGTTGAACATAATACTGAGATATACACGTTGAATCACTGATACTTTTACATACAATTTTTTAAGTAAAATAATGAGACGATTCTTATTTGTTTAAAAAATTTGCAATAATCTGCATTTAATGTAGATATTTTGAGAAGATAGTTGAATGTAGGTATACATTTTTTATTTTATTATGAGGAAT